ACCGAAAGGCAAAATGCCAATTTCACGTTTAGACATATATCAAGTTGGACAACTAACCTCAGAAGTCAACAAATCCAGTGTTTCGGGTAAAGATGCTTTATATATTTCGAATAGCTCAAAAAAAGTTGGATGGTTCATTTCATTAATGGTTACTGGTTAATTTTCAAAAAATAATGTCATGTGATATAAACACTGGTTCACGGAAATTTGCTGGTGCAAGAAGAGTAATAACTTCTAGAAGAAAATGCACACTCCCAGTTGTCTGTACCCATTATTTAGGTGGATAAATGAGGACTAAGAACGTTAAGACATCCTACTCAGCCACTTTATCCCCTATAGTCGGATAAATTACCAACTCAGATTAGTTCTATTCAACAACTGGTATCTGGGAATGAGGAACGCATGCCAAACGTTCTAAAATTGCCAGTTGACGTGTTTAGAAGACACTACATTTTGTCAGCATCATTTAATGATTATTGCGTTTTCGTACTCTAGATCATATTAAGAGTTTTCCAAGGTAACAGTCCCCGCAGTTGAATGAGCAGAAGGATACCTACATAAGTATGTCTGCGTCGAGGATAAACACCCTTGACAGGTACCGATGGTCGTATACAGCTCATCTGAAACCTCAACATAGGTCTTAACATCTCCAGGGGTGTACGGTAGAGGCCTTTTCTATGCGATGTACTTATCCAGTGCTCTTCTTAACAAACACATTGCTCTAAGATCTCTAGATCAACGGAGTCTAACGTTACCTTTAGATAAAGATATACAGATAGTTTCATGCCTCGGTAAGAACCTGGTAGAGGGTGGTTTTCTCAACGCATCCACAGTCAGGCCCGAAACCTGACTGATCTTTTGTTCCCTGGCTCCAATCAGATATCGAATGATTATACAACCCCGAATCACACAAATTACGTTGATCAGGTTGATTTCTATTTGGTTGCCGCAAGAGGATTTTCTGCTCTCTTTGAAGACTGAGTAAAAGGCTACTGAGACCGATCACAGAGGACGGTACCTGGTTTCCAAACACCAGCTAGGACTTCAGTCAGTCTAGTCAATAATCCCTAACTACGATCCTTAAAAACCTCTGATACAAGATCATATGGGAACTCTACCCTCCTCGTCCTAGATTACGTAGTCCTTTCAACTTCTGCGACATCAAGGGGCCGTATCCCCATGTTTAATTCAGTCTGCTAATGGGTAACGGATAAGCAAAGAGTAGCTAGATTATAGTTAAACCGGTCCCAGAACAGTTCTGTCAACCATTGCAGCCATCTTCCCTGCCATTGAACCATGGATCCATGCTTCTTCATGATCTCACTAACTACTAACATTTTCATCCCAATAACCATCTGCTGTTACCATCACCGCTGCCTTTTTTTTAGTCCATTTAGTCTTTTGCGCATATCACTCCTCACAGTTATTACGTAGACTTTTTATCAGCCTAAATTTGAGTTGCTTCAGCTTCTTATTGCGCTCGTAGCTTGAGAGAAAGAGTTAGAGTACAATCGTTAATTCAGAAAGAGCTCTTGAGCTTTATTAGCTCTTTCTAACCACTCTAAGAATTGGCTATGGTCAACACTATTTTTAAAGCAAACTGAATATGGCACCATGCTTTATTTGAACGAGTGATGGTATTTTGTTCCAATAATTGTTTAACCAGTTTTTCGTTGAAAATATCCTTAGTGCTTTCATTGTTAAGTTCAACTTCTAATGTTTTTGTCGCTAGTTTTTCTACATACACCTAGGTGCAGACATATGTGCTTAAATCAACGGGTGGTTGCTGTCCAAACATGTGCTCAAGAAGGACCGGTAATCTTTCGCCGATCCCATCCAGCGACAACTGACAGCAATATGGTCTGAGTTCACCATCAAGTTGAGATCGGTGGACACCACATCAGACAATGCCTTTCATAACGTTTGATGTTCGGGCTGGCCAGAAAAAGCGATTGTTTGAGCACAGTTGTAGCAGGTTATTTTTTCGTCCGGCTGGGATTCCGAAAGCTTCACCGAAGTGCCTTTCTGGCTGATTTACCCTACTCATATGTGCATTGAAATCAACTTCGACAACAACTACGTCTGAAATTTCGGCTCTAAGTAGGAAATTAGAAACTTCATTAGAACTTATCGTACATTTCAGTCGAACTGAAGCTATTGGTTGTGCAAGCAGAGATTACAAAGATAATGGTGTTTCACTATCCGTTGTAGTTCTCATTGCACGATTCGGTCGAATAGCTCACACGTAACTCCCAACTGGATTTCAGTAGACCAATGAACTTCCTACCTTAGCACAATGCTACACTTACATCTACGGACCACGGGAACTAGTCCAGAAATCTCCAAAAACCCGAAGAATGAATTTTGTAGATTGGTCGCAGGACGTTAGGTGAATAACCACACTTGTGTTACACATGCATCTAAAAAACACAGTACACATAAAAGACCCGAGTGCAAACGTTTTAGCTTACGAAGCTTGTTGGCCAATTTAGAAGATGTGCGGACACTGAAAACACCTGTGTAGTTAGCAGCGCAGTTTCAGATCAGCGATCCTGTTTCATGAACTCACATCGGTATCAAGAGGTGCAGAAATTAAAAATAATATAAGAATACTGACCGAGAGAAGTGAATGAAGATTAGAAGTTAATGATGCAGAAGGGAAGATAGTCATCTAATGAAACATGTGTTGACAGCTCTGAGGGCGGTTGACACCTCAAATGCTCACACCGCAGAAGGATCATCCTTCATGTGCCTGAAGAAGGGTTAGTGCATGAAAGCAGAATCCAAGGGACATTGCTTGAGGTCAGCCATATATATCCTTTACAGAAGTCTGGTAGTTCAGATTTCGTGTAAATCCGACTATGAACCCGTACTGTCGGCACCCGTTAGCTGTGGGGTACAGAGTTTGTTATTTTAAGGCGTCTCATCCACGCCCTTTTTCCATGAGAAAGGCAGCATCAGCGTAACATGGCTCGTCATCCGTAAGAAACACCTTAATGGTGTCACATCCCAGTCCAGCCAGTAGTACGACAACCCTTGGGGTCCCATCATATCTGTTTCACACTAAAACCAGTCCACTATCACTACTGCTATTATTATTATCATCATCGTCCTTATTGTTGCTATCATCATTATCATTATTATTACAACTATCATTATCATTTCTGTCATTATTACTATTATCACTATTATTAATATCACTATCAGTGTTGTCATTATTATTATTATTATTATCATTATCACCATCATCATCATTAATACCCAACAGATTTATCTGGCATGGTACCAAGCGTTTCGCTAGGTCGACACCAACTTCCTTAATCAGTAAAATGAGTGTTAAAGAATTCAATCTCTCAGAAAAATTGATTAACTAGAAAATGCTTCGTACTATTACTATTCCTCAATATGAATGCCAGCAGGAAACCTTTGCATATATAGACTATGGAAACGCGAGTCAAAATCAAAGTAGAACCTCACACAGGACCATATTCCTTCGAGTTGCTTTGCTTCACAGCAGCACACCAAGAACAAGAGGACAGAAAAAGTAACAACATAGTAGACAGACAAAGTAGTCTACAGAAAGGGAATGAATTTCAAAAATGAAGGTCAGTGAGAATGATCACACTTTAGACAACGCCAGAGAGTGAATTCAACTGCACCACTGTGACCTACCATTCACCATGTCACCAAGGATCCTTAACCATTCCCAGTCAACATTTTCGCGGGGAAACACGGGCAAAACGCGGGACCATCTCTCCAACACGGGGCAAATCGAGGGGAAACGCAGGGCAAAATATGGGGTATAGAAAGTGCGGGGCAAAACACGAGGAACATGGGGCATCCCGGGGGGGGGAGCAGAACACGAGGATTACAAACTCGAGGAAATGCCGCGCAAACCCACGTTTTGCCCCATGTTTTCATTGCGATCTACAATATGTGAAAATGTTGACTGGGATTGATTCCCATTATCTCAACGACCCCAACCAGGCAGTATACACCTCCCTACATGGCTTAAACCAACAGTTACACACTTCATGGTCTAGTGCCGCGTCTTCGTCTGACAAACCTTAGACTTCTTCCAAACCAATCTCACTCCGAATAGTAATCTGGGTCCAGATAAACAGTGGCTCAGCATGCGCCACACATATTCAAAACACCCCAGTCAGTGAAGGTTCACAACCTGACCGACTAACTACCCTCCCTGACTAGTACCCATCGCCTAACCCCAACATTGCCCACACCATGATTCCGTTATACGTGAGCAATGCAGCCAAGATAACTGTGGTCAGAACCCTGCGATCTTTTCATATCTTGTACTCTCAAAAACCATGTCGCACAGCCGTATAGTAGGACAGGACGAGCTGCAGTGCAGCGTTCTCATACTTTAATAGGCAGTCGAACATCTCACTAACATTAGATGATGAAAGTTGGCGAGTACCAAACGGAGGTTTTAATATCCGAACTGAGATTTCGTCAGCAAGCGACTCCAATAAACTGATGAAAGTTCTCAAGTAAATAAAGTGGTCAATGCATTCTGCCTTTCCACTTCCTACCCTCAAACTGAGAGTAGCTGTAGACCGGTTCTGAAGCATCAACTTATATCTGACAGCTATAAAGCATACTCCAAGTACATTCTATATTTCTATTAAGGTCATCCTGAGGACTGCATTCTGTATCTTTACCTAACATGATAAGTCTTTTTCGTGGAGTTTGGTGTAACTCAACTGCAAAATATTCAAAATATAACCGCTGAAAAGGTTAGCTTCTAGGTAAATAGTGCACATAAATCCGTAATTAATTTAAGCAACGTTTAAACATAAGTTCAACTTAAACTAGTTTTAGGTCGTTTTACAAAAACAAGTGAAATTCATCAAATGCCACAATCTACTTTTTATCACCTACCATATGTCGACACAAACTACATCTGTCCATATATGTGAAACCAAAGATTTATCAATTAGAAACCCAGATTTATACAAATCAAAATTCTTACGACTTACCGAGATGAAATATAGGAAACATTAGCAGTCCCCGGTACCATTTCCTTAGCACTCCCAAAGTCGCAAACCTTCAATACCACAGTCTCTTCGTTGACCAGTAAGTTTGATGACTTTATATCGCGGTGGCAAATCTGATGGCTATGTAAATAAGCTAGAGCTTTCAGCATTTGATAGGTAAAAATCTTTACTGTACAAGCTGGTATTTTCATGTTTCTCTGGGAATAACGGTATATCAGCTCACATAAACTTTCAGGAAAACATTCCAATACTAGATGTAAGAACACATCAACCCCTGATGATGATGAGCCAGTACGTCCACTGCCACTTCTTTGGTTTCGAGTGTTGGATGATGCTGTCGAGTAGTAGTAGTAGTAAAACTTGACAACGTTTGGATGGTTGTTAAGCCTTTGCATGATGCTTAGCTCACGGTTTTTGTACCGTGGGTCTTGCAAAACACGCTTCACAGCGACTTGTAAACTTTGTCCCCCGTCAGGAAGATCACCAGCATCGGAGTTCTTCTTACCGGATGTGCATGAACTAGCAGTCGCCGAGACAGCTAGGGTTGCACGCTCAATCTGTCCAAAAGTACCCTGCCCGATTGTCCCAATGAAGCTTAGATGTATGGGGATATGCTGATTATCCTGCGCACCACGGGCTTGAACCATCATTTGACGAGGTACAGATAATCCACTGTTTAACAAGCTCATTAAAGCGCCACTCGAACAACGTGTGGAGTTTGTTGTATGGTTGACAGCTGCATGTGGTGGTGCTGCATCTTGAGCAGCAGGAGGGAAGTTTCCCGACAATTTGGGCGCCGGATTCATGACATTATGGTTTACACCCGAGCCGTTACCGCCAGTAATCCTGGAAGTCAAGCTCATAGTTGGTGGTCTTTAATGAACACACAAGTGTTGCTTGAAGTTTCAGTTGGAAGAACCTCTTGCAAAAGTGCTCCTAGATTTGGTAAAATATCCGATTTTTATCCCGAAAAATTTATGAAGAAAATCTGATACACTCAACACAAAGCGAACGGACTCAGCATTTGAAAGAGACGCAAGGGCAACAGAAACTACCGATAGAAACAAAATAGTAGGTTTTCAATAAAATGTAGTGAATCATTTGAACTTCATTTTATTTTTCCAGCTAATGATCAAGAATCTTGCTTAAAATGAATCCTGGCAGATTTTTGTGGTTATTTTATCGCCTGCCAAGTGCTTAAATAGATAGGAATACATCAAATTCCTTCCTTGGTTTGATCTCGTTGAGAAACTCAGTGATCCAGAATAATACAGTGCGACCATTGCTTTTGAAATTTACTACTTCATCCGTCAGATGAAGAGAAACTTTTTTCGGTTGTAAGGTCTGATAAGTCTTGGTATGAACGAAGCAGTCGATTCAGACTGAATAATAACTTTATCTTGGGTACTGTTTTAAATTCTTAGCATATAATGATCCAAAAAGTCCACTCATTAGACAACACATAGAGCTCAACTAGCGGTGAAGCGGAGCGGTCCCCACTATAAACAGTGTACTGCTTCCTTTCGGAAAGGTGGGGACACATCCAGTTTGTGACTCGTGGCAGTGTTTGTGCGACTGTGAGTTTTCTAACTCTTCGAACGACCCACGTTTCAATTTAGAACATTATGTTGTGACCTAATGCTGACTTGTTAGCCAATAGTAGACTGACCTGTTTGCCTAGTGTTACCATAAATACCATTACAAAGCTGTCAAAAATGACATATCAAAAAGAAAATTCTCATCGCTGAATAAATTTGTGTTTTCGTGAGTAATCAGTTCAAAGCACTATCATTCGACAAAAGTTCCTGTTGCATCTGCTCCCCACCAGCGTGATCTGTGGACAATTTACATATGTTTTATGGGTTCGTACACCACCGAAATATCTAGCGGCATATTTTTCTGAGACACTGCATTTCAAAGTGATAAATCTGTTAACTCTTTTAACCAAAGGGTTTCCAACCACTGCCTAACTTTTCCTTCCATTTTCGGGCGTCAGCGGTATTTTAAACCATATGAACTTTCTTATACGGACGTGAAACTATAAATGGGTGTTTATTTGTGCTGTAGTCGAATAATTCTTGACTTGTGACTTCTGAATTGCCTGGGCTATTGAGTACGTTCTCCGATATCCCCACTTAACCTTAACCCTCCTGTCTTTCCTTTGTCACACACCAGCGGATCAGGATAGTCTATAGAGTTGGGTATGTGTGAAGATATATTCGCACATTATTACAGGCACGTGCACATCTCTGAAATATCTGGTATGCCGAGACTTCTGGCTAACGTTCAGTACAGCATTTGCATTGTAAGTTACGAATTATGGTTGGGCTTACTGTAAGTGTCATTGGTGGACTACAGATTTGTCTTGGGTGCTTATGCTACACTCACGTTATAAAGTGAATGCCACACATCTTACAATCAGTATTTCAATGAGTCTGCTCGCTCACACTTTTTCTCCGCTTTCCTGCTTTCAACTTCGAGAAACTGATTTTCTGTCTGACCGATGAACTGTGGACCGTCTCCTTAACAACATCTAAATGAATGACGGAAACTGTCTGAAGCAAATCACTACATACTGGGTGACTGATTGGTGGATAGTAGGTTCCCTTGTCAGTTACAGCCCGATTGGGGACTTCAGAATGTGTAGGAGGCGCTGGGTTTTGAAGATGGTGACTTCGGCACAGACAAAGAGCAACTATCTTAGGCCGGATTTACGAAACAACAAGGTTTACCTCGGTGTCACAGATTGCATATACCCTGTCAACGGATACGACGGTAGCAGAGGAACAGAAGATCTCCGCGTTGTGTGGTTAACTCGTAACCTTGGATTTGCTGACACGATCGTGAAATGACCCTACAAACAGATACCCATCCCGACCAAAGCGAACCCCCAGAAGAAGAGAGTTCGATATGCTGATACCACAGCAAGTTTTAAGACCTAGCTCGGTGCTTCTAAATGTCATTTGATTTTAATATGATACAACTTTCGCGAAAATGAGAAGGGTAGTGGTGAGTGACGAAAACTGTCTTCAGCCCAGACAGTTCTCGCGATGGTCTGTCTCACGTCAGAGAAAGGCATATTAGGGTGTATTTTCTGGTGGACACCAGATAAGAAGTAAGAACAGTCCCGCTAACCGAACTCGATAGGAAAATCTTACTTTGCGAACCCTAATATAGGCTGAAGTGATGCCATATTTTGAACTAAGTATAACATTCACGTGGAAATTCGTCTGTGGTTACAGAACCCTTCTGATCATTTGAATATATTTTCTACAGCTCTGCGAGTTGCTACTGTACTCTAGTTGTTACACACGAGCTTGGTGCAATCGCGATTTCTCCGTCCTTTTTATACTTACAGAAACGGGAACTACCGATTCAGTGGCATTGTGGTGTACCTGCCTGATATCAAGATGCAACTGGGAAAAAATAAAAAGCCCGATAAGCTGAATTAACTTTTTCCCGAAAAATCACCCTCGCCTCTATTCTACTGAAATATACTGCTCTTTGATCTATTACTATTGCCTTCCCTTGGGTTCCTGGGGGAACATAGGGCTTCAGCTGCACGCCCCAATTGCACTCACCTCTCTGCAACTTTTGAACCTAGCTCCATGGCTGCCCACAACCTTTCACTTCTTCCTCACACGATCTCCTCCATGTCTCCCTCGCCTCAGACGCACAACTCGTCGTTTCCCCTTTGGATTAAACTCGATGGCCTGACCTGATGAGTGATGCCCCCGGTCGGCCTTTTCACTGTATACCCACTCTATCTTCACTTTCCTCCGCATATTTGTTTGGCGATAGGTTCTTGGCTGGTTCAATGCCAGACCTGAGTTCCCTGTTGTCTATTCTTTCCGGCTATCCGATCTTCAATATCCGGTGAGCGCAGGTGGAAGCTATTGATGAATGTCTGTAGTTTGTTGGAAATGCTTCTCGTGACGCACCAAGTTTCCGAACCATATAGAAGCACTGACTTACTTGACTGAATCAGCGCTGAAAATCCGGATCTTGTTCCTCGTGCTGAGCGCAGTGGATCTCCACACTGATTTCAGATCGATGAAAGCCAGTCCTTCCTTTCCGATCCTGGTTTTGAAGTCCTCACCTGTGCCATCACCTGTAGCTCAAGCGATGCTGCCTAGATAGGTAGATAGGTGAAAGAGACAACTTCCTTTTGGTTTCTCCCGCTAACGGTGTTTGGGGCTTGTTGATGCTGTTGTTCTTTGGGTATCTTCATCACTCCCGTCTTCTCTACATTGGCCTGAAGTCCCTTTCCCGCTGCCCTGCCTCTTCCGCCAACTTGTCAGTTTTTGCCTGTAGATCTTCGAGTTTGTGCGGTATTAGACATAAATCATCGTGGGAGAATTCCAAATCTTCGGGGTCTTCGCATCGGTCGAGAGTATGCCTATCTTCCCGCTACTCACGGTTTGCTGCATGATCCAGTCGACTTGTCTTACTTCTGTCTTCCCTTCAAAGGCATCACTGACCTTTCCATTGCGAACCGTTTGGCAAGTGGCGTTTTCATATAGCTGTTGAACAAGGTTGATAAAGGTTTGTGGCACTGAAAGCGTAGTTTTGAAGCAGCAGCTGCTGCCAAATTACTTGTAGGTCGACGCTATATAAGGAAGACCTTCTCAGAGTCGATGAAGTTGAGGCTGAGTTGAGTTGAGTTGACTGCCATTCTTTGCTCTGTTCTAAGATGATGCTTTGCGTTGCAGTTTGATCTGCACATGATTTGTTCTTCCTGAAACCAACCAGCCTGTTCCGATCGTAATTTTGAATCCAGCGCATTGTTTAGTCTCTCCAGGATGATGCGGCATAATATTTTGCTTGCATTGGGTGGACAGCAGCATGATTCCTGGTCAGTTCTTGCAAAGACTTAGGTCGCCCTTGTTTGGGATTTTGACAAGGTAGCCCTTCTTCTAATCAATTGGCAGGTACCTTTCCTGCCTTCCTTCCAAATGCTTTGCAGTAGTGGTGTGAGCATGTCCGCTGTTGTCTCTGTGTCTGTTTTCAGTGCATGTGGAGGAATTCCATCTGGTCGTGCTGCTTTCCCGGATTTCAGCAACTTTATGGCGTTGAGGACTTCACTTCTGCTTTTGTCGGAGGGCTTGTGTTCACTTGTAGTTGTGTGACTGGGTTGCTGGTGGTATTTCTGGACGAGTTGTAGGTGGTGTTGGTGGTCGATTCGAGAGTTTATGGAAGTGATCAGTTTGTCGTTTCTCTTGTTCCTCCTCTTTGGTAACTCGCTTTCCTTCACGATCTTTCATTGGTTTCGTCTGCGTTGATCTCTTCCCAGATCGATAGTAACCTGGTTATTTGATATGGTGTTGTCAGGCCTCTCCAAACAGCCAGCATCCTGTTCCGGTTGACTTGCAAGTGTGTCGTAGAAGTGTCTTTTGTCTTTCCGCGCACACTCTGCTTCGTCCAGTGTGGTGTTTTATAGATTGCGCTCAGTTTCCCTTTTCGTCGTCCGTCCCTGCACTGCACCGCACCGCCCTGCAATGGTTCATCTTCTGCTTCACCGTCTTCCTTTTCCTTCTCTATCGGCCTCCATGTGTCAATTGAGATCCTCTCCCAGTGTTGTTTCCTCTTCCTTTCCAGTACAGCTATGCAGGTTTCCTTCCACACCTCTTTAGAAAAGTCCCAGTGTATTTCCATGCCCGATCATTCAGGGATGCTGCTCAACGTTCGCCACTTTGTTCTGACATGAAGATGTCCCCCGTAGTTTCATCCTTCAGCTTCTGTTCTCCGTGTTGAACTTCAACTGTGGTCGTCTATCACCAACTTCTGTGAAGGCTTCCAACTTGATTTTGAAGGTGGGTTGCTTGCACTAGATAGTGAGTGGTGTGAACCTACATCTGCTCCCCATCTTGATCTGATCTTGTGTCCAGTAGTAGGCTGGCTGCGTCTCCACTTTCTTCACATTGAGATGAAGTCGATCTGGTTTTTAGTTTAGTGTGTCCATCTGGTGAAATCGAATCCATGTCACTCGCTTTGTGAATATCCTTGTGTTTGTACACACTGCCTCACCTCCAATCACCAAATCATT